GCAGGGAGCAAGCTGTGGGACCCTCCTAGGCCTGCCTGGAAACTGCAGCACAGCGCTATTTATAACCCTCGCCTCTGGCCGCCTCCTGTCAGGGTGGCTCCATATTTCTGCATCTCGCTGAAGCATGCAGCAGGCAAACGAGAAAAGAGGAAGACGCCAACCCAGTCGAAGTTCTGTTGTAGGACGTGCCTCAGTAGAGCGCATTGATTTCGGGAGCTGGGTCCCCTCCGCAGGCGGTGTGGTAGGCTGTCCCTTCCCCGTGATTCTGCCAACATTGTCACCACCTTCCCCCTTTTGAGTGCCACGTGTCCACACGTCCCTACGAAAGACAGTTTTGAAGTCTAGTGGTTGCATTCTTCGTCTGCCCTCTAGCATCTGAACAGGTTTGTAGTTCTATCAAGGCTCTGCGCTACGTGTGAGGCTGTGGTTCTGTGTGACTGTGAGTGCAGTACACAGACCCGGTCTCACCTAGTTAAACGTCAGCTCTCCCGGTGAGGGAGGCAGGCAGAGAAAGGGCCAGGCCTTAGCAGCTTTCCTGTGTGTGTGTGTGTGTGTGTGTGTGTGTATGCATGTGTGTGCGTGTGGTGTGTTTAAATCCAGTTGGTTTCTTTCATTCTGGGTAACTGATTCTTTAAGGTCTCGGGTCCGAAGGGCAGAGTGCTTTAGCCATGTTGTTCCCTTCCAGCTGTGAACCCCACCCCTAGCAGCTGGAGCCTGGACAGTGGGAAGGAGGCCAGGAGCATGGCGGAGAGCGGGAGGCTCCTCTCGCCCCCTGTCCCTCCGAGACCCGCACTGACGGGTGGGTATATGACGCGTGTGCATAGTCGCTTCTCTGCAATAACCACTGCGCTGACTGCTCCCGCTGTGGATTGCGCAGAGAACGGCAGGGGGTGGTCCTGGAGCGGGGAGCCTCCGTAGCTGCCTAACGCGTGGGCGCTGTCCCTCCCTCTGCTGAACTGCTGCTACACTGTGTTCCTCCTGAGCTCTGACGGGAGCGTGTTCTCTGCACGCTGCGGGCTGGCACTGCCCTCCTAGCCACCTCCTCCGCGGCAGCCTCTGCTGGCGCGCTGCTTCCTTCCCTCTCGTGTGGAGCTGATGCCAGCGCCGCAGGCAGCCCTGAAACAGGCACTGACGGACCCTAACTCTGATGGGCGGCTGGGGACAACTACCCCCATGCCACGCTGTCTGCTGCCCGGAGAAGACCGTATTCGATCACTTCTCGAAGGCCTGAGTTAGAGTTCAAGAACCCTGACAGTAATGGTGGGGGAAGCTGCCTGTGAGGTGACAGCAGGAACAGGGCCCCGGTCCTCCTGAACAAGCCCTTTACTCTGACCTTCACGGGGGGTGTCGCTGAGAGGGCTGACCCGCCCTGCCAGCTCCCCTACCCTGGTGCTGGGCACAGTCTTCCCAACACTTAACGCAGGTCGAGAGTAGTTCTGAAACTATGAATACACCCAGCCTCCGGTAAGAGGAAATACGATGCCATTGCCTCGGTGGGCTTTCCTGGAGGGTCCGTTTCATTTGCTGCATTTTAGCATCTTTTTTTTGTTTACTAAGAAGAGGAAAGTGACTTTCTTTTTATGTACTTATTTATATACACATTTTTAAAATTGATTTTAGAGAGGAAGGGAGAGGAAGAGAGAGATTGAAACATCAATGATGAGAATCATTGATCAGCTGCCTCGTGCACGCCCCCTACTTGGGATTGAGCCACAACCTGGGCACGTGCCCTGCCTGGGAATCAAACCTTGACCTCCTGGTTCATAGGTCGACGCTCACCCACTGAGCCACGCCAGCCAGGCAGCCTTTCTTTTTTAAATAAAACTCTGCTGCCAGGTTTTCTGTCGCTGCCGTAGCTAAAGGCCACCAGCAGGGTCTGAAAGGCCGTGAGAGCTTTAAGCAGAGCAGGAGCCACTGGGCTCAGCTGTGAAGTGCACCAGTGTCACTGCGGCCCCCCCGGTGAGGACTCGGCCACCAGGTGACTCGTGTTCTGCCGTTAAACCTGGTTGTGTGGCTGCAGCATTTCAGCAGCTGTCAGTTGGGGGCGGTTCAGTTCCTAGGCCCATTCAAACCTGTAGGCAAGGGTCCTGGCAGGGCTGGCATAGGCTCCGTGCGAGAACGCCTTCCTAAGCAGCGGCTCTGTGAGCTTGAGCGGGCTGGTGCGCAGGAGGGGTCACTGCACACGAGCCAGGAGAGGCCCCGGCGCCCACGGGTGACTGACCTCTGCAGGGTAGCGTGGCGGGCTGCCTCCCTTCCGTACAGATCCTCCTGGTCTGTCCTCTGTCTTCATCTGTGCTCTCTGTGGGGGCAGGGGGGTGTCTGGACTGTCTGTCTCCGCTTCATCCTTTTTGCGGTTTCCTGTGAGTTATCAACCTCCCGTGACAGCCGGGGGGGGGGGGGGGGGGCTCGGGGAGCGGGCACGGGCAGCTCACCACAGAGCAATAAACCCCGAACTCATGAACCCCGACTTGGTGGAATTAGGAGAGGCGTCTGCACTCTGCATAGAGCAGTTCATCCATCCACGTGCCGGGTCCTGATGTGGGGCTGGGCCGGTGGGCGGGAGGAACACGCCTGTCTGCCCAGATGATGAAATCTAGGGCACCACCCCCCTCCGCACCCCCATCCTCCATCCTGGGGACCAAGGGGGACCGGAGTACAGGCATTAGGGGGCTAGTGGTCGTGGCCAAGGGTTTCTACGGTTCACAGTGCGGGGTGGGGGCATGCAGTCGGAGGCTGGAGTCCGTGTGCCTCTGGACCTAGTCAGTCTGTGCTGCCCAGGGCCCTGGGCTTCCCTTTGCCGCTCAGGCCGCAGCCAGCAGCGTCTGTGGAGACCGCTCCCGGCCCCCACACCCACAAGCACCTGGGCTTTGGGGAAATGGAAGGGACGATGGGCCCTCCGGGGCCCTGCCACTGAGGCCCAGGCATCCTGCTCGGCTGTGGCTTTTCACTCCTCTCCCAGTCCGGACGCTGCCAACCTTGGGTGACTTACGCCCCCACGCCCCTGCCCAGTCCTCCTGCCCAGGGCCACCTGTGGGTTTGCACACGCAGAGGGCACGCCCGGGGGTCACCGCCCGGTGTTTCTGAATTGAAACTCTCTCTCTTTACAGCTTCGCCTGCGAGACACACGGCGCCGGTCTCCCCCTCACCTGCCGGGCGGTCTCCGTTGAAGGTACGGCTGTCGTTTAACTGAGCCTGGGATGGGCCCCGTGTTCCCTCCCCCCTGAGGAGCCCCCTGGTCCGTTAGCAGGGCTTTCATTTGCACGGAGCAGGCAGAGAAGTGGGGGGCAGCGCGAGGAAGGCGGGGCGGGAGCAGCCCTGGGCTTTCCCCTGGGGGTGCCGCCTCCGCTGACGCAGCCTGTGTTCAGGTTATTAGCCTCGCTCGCTCGCAAATGGTGCCAGTGAGGGTGTGCAGCCTGGAGAGAGACACCGAATTAGGAAAGAAATATGGTCCCAGTGTCACCTCCTAGGACCATGGTCGGCGAACTGCGGCTCGCGAGCCACATGCAGCTTTTTGGCTCCTTGAGTGGCTCTTCCACAAAATACCACGTGCGGGCGCATGTACAGTGCGATTGAAACTTCGTGGCCCATGTGCAGAAGTCAGTTTTTGGCCTGGGCGAGTCCATTTTGAAGAAGTACTGTTGATATTTTGCTCTGTTGACTAATGAGTTTGCTGACCACTGTCCTAGGACATGTTCAGCCTGCCCTGGTTTAAGAGGCATTAAAACCCACAACACCTTGAATCGACATCAGGATCAAGGTGTCCGAAATAGTGTTCTGGGCCTTTTGCCTTCTCATCAGCCTCGTCCACTCTGACAAAGCCAAACCCACTTTCTCTTTTCCTATTTTCTTTAAAAAAAAAAAATGTTTGTATTGATCTCAGAGAGGAAGAGAGAGAGATAGAAACATCAATGATGAGAATCATCGATTGGCCGCCTCCTGCATGCCCCACACTGGGGATCGAGCCCACAACACGGGCATGTGCCCTGACCGGGAATTGAACCCTGACTTCCTGGTTCGTAGGCTGATGCTCAACCACTGAGCCACACTGGCCAGGCTCTTTTCCTGTTTTCTACCAAGACTTTCGAATACATTAATGAAAAGCCAGGCAGTGCAATGACTTTTTAAAGCTTTAAAGATCAGACGTTTGTCCGGGTCTGTAGACACGGGCTATTGAACATCTCTGAGCAGACACAGCCCCTCGTGGAGGTCAAGGGTAGCCGTCCAAGGGTAGATGCCCAAGGGTAGGGTGTCAGGCTGAGGGCAAGGCCTGCCAGTCCGTGTGGGCGTGGTGCCCAGAGCTGCTGCCCGGAGGCAACTGCAGTGGAAAGAATGATTTCATCCCTGAGTGACGGGGACCTACACGCTCCCTGTCCCTTTCGAGGGGGAGAGGTTTCTAGGTGACATCAAAGGAAAACAGGTCCTGCGCCGTCCGAGCAGCAGCTGCTCATAGAAACCGAGAATCTGAAACGGGAAACCAAAAAGAGGGAGGAAATCGCAAAGAAGCGTGATTTCGTTCATGTTGCCCATGTTTCCGACAGTGCCAGTTCCCTGCTGGTTTTGTTGTCTCCGCCATGGCGGTCCCGAGAAAGCCCTGGCCTGTGCCTGCTCTGCAGGCCGGGGACTGTGGTCCCGGTGTGACGGGGAGGGGAAAGCGCCGTGGCCGTGGCGTTTCCACAGCTTCCCACCCGCCTCGCGCTCCCTCCCACGTGGCGCTACGGACCAGTACCTGCACCTTTCCCTGGATTTTGCAGAGTAGTAATAAGACTCTAAGTCTTAGAGGTTGGCTCTTAAGAACAGAAAGAACAAAGGGATGGAAATGTTGAAATAGCTGAGTGGATAGTGCTGTGCAGCAGACCTGCATCCATCCTCACTGCCCGCCTCTGTGGCCACGTGGTCACAGTGGGGTCGCAGTGATGGCGAACCTATGACACGCGTGTCAGAGGTGACACGCGAACTCATTTCTTTGTTGATTTTTCTTTGTTAAATGGCATTTAAATATATAAAATAAATATAAGTCTTTGTTTTACTATGGTTGCAAATATCAAAAAATTTCTATATGTGACACGGCACCAGAGTTAAGTTAGGGTTTTTCAAAATGCTGACACGCCGAGCTCAAAAGGTTCGCCATCACTGGACTCTAAGGGGTGGCTGGGCGTGTTGTGACTCCTGGGGTCCAGGAGAGGGCGCTCTGCCCTAAGCTCCTCGCCCTATTGTGACTGATGGTGCTCTCCTGTCTTATTTTGGACAAAACCAGCAGTGCATTGGGCCTCTCGGTTGGCCCTGCTTCATTTCCGGCCCCGCTAAGGGGAAGGGTTTGTGTCTCCCACATTATTTTGTTTAAAAAGAGAGACCAAGGTCAAGTTGGTCCAAGAGGACATTTTTCAAAGTGTGTTTGTCCCAATGTTACCTCCTAGAATAGTGGTCAGCAAACTGCGGCTCGAGAGCCACATGCGGCTCTTTGGCCCCTTGAGTGTGGCTCTTCCACAAAATACCG